ATACTATATATATATACATACATACATACATACATACATACATACATACATACATACATACATACATAATACATACATACATACATACATACATAATATATATATATATATATATATATATATATATATATATATATACGAGAAAAGAGAAATATGGTGTGTAAGCACTTGCGTGGATATAGACATGTGCCAGGTATATATATAACATACCTTTGAATAGTAACGTTGGCTAAACGTTCGACCATTTGATCTTTGGCCACCATATGCGTCAGTCGGTCGTACACTGGCGCAATTACAACCACATTCTGAATGGACAAACGAAACGATCAATTGCGATGAGCAACAATAAGCTGACGATATACGTGTACGTGTGGCGGCAATAAGTCAAGGGATATAAACGTACACGTATTTAAGTTGGACGCAAATACAACCATACTACGCCATATATACATTTCTTGGAATCAGCAGCCACAAGCCGATAGATACATGCACGTATTTGCAGTATTTAACGTAATTAACGTTTTCTAACGTATTTAAGTTGAGAGCAGCTACAAATAATCAGACAACGTAACCCCCCGTAAAAGACGGGCGGGTGAATTGGATTCAGCGGCTGTAAGCCCAGAAATATGTGGTGTATGAGCATAGCAATATGTGATGTACGAGCAAATGTATACGTCCGTACCATAGATTTTAGGGTTATAGTGTGGTGTAGAATCAAGTGCGGTGCAACTACAAACACAAACAAACACGGTCTGATGAGGTGAAGGTACACGAGCCGATATCCTGCATACAGCTGAGTAAGCCGAGCGATAGGCGCAGATAAATATACACCAAATCGACACTATGACACGCAACAGCTGAGAGTGTGGATGGCCAATAGGTGCCATCAGAAAACCTATGCGCTGGGCGAACAATGGCGGTTGAATAACTATGACTGTCAATGCCTGTACTTGTAGCGTGTGGGCGTGGCATGCCCAGGTCTCTTGGTTAGGCTTGTCGTGTTTTTGACCTATGCGTGTGTGTCCTTGTAGCATGAGCGTGTAATATACACACCTACCTGAGTCGCATCGTGTGTGAGTTGTGTGTGTCTGTAGAAAGTGGGGGCATTATGCAGTCCCGTGTCGAATCTGATTCCCCGCCAGTTATTGAATGTGTACAGCGGCGCCCGGGATTCAACAAAAGTCGGTGAGAAGCGTTTGTAGCCACCCCCTGCAATAAGCACACACACAGCCGCATGTGAAACGTGACACATGTGTGCATGAACAACTACGCCAACCCTAAATGGACCGATATTCAGGAGATGATCGACGCTAATACCAAAGCTAGTTTACTACTAGCGATAGTAGTCTCGCTCCGCCCAGGGTGTGACCCGGGACATGCATACGCATGCCAACGGGTGTGATTCGAGAGATGCAGACGGGTGTGCAGCGCACTGTGAGATGTGGACTGACTGACAGGGCGTAGAATAGGCCAATCTATAATTCACGCACCTGCCCTGATATTTATAAACAAGGTTAGATATACACCAATCCACGTACCTGTCCTGGTACTTATAAAAGAGGGCCACCCATAAACTATTACACGTGCCTGCCCGGGTACCTACAAGAGAGGACTACACATAAACCAATACACGTACCTGTGCTGATAAATATGTCGATGCTCGAGTAGCGTGCCTCGACATTAGGGCCTCCATTGGCAAAGTCAAACCACACCATCAGATCCCTCACCGGTTGATTTGGCGCCGAATGGTAAATTTGAAGAATATCTGCACAGCGTGGGATGGGCAGGGAAGGGGTGTTTTAGTGCACGAGTAAAGACATAACTGTGTACAGTTGTTGTGTGTTATATACTGTGTGTGATTGTGTGTTATGTGCGATATATCCGACATATGAAATGTGAAGTGCTGTTGTATATTATCTGGTTTGGCATCCTGGTACTACGCGTACTTTTAGTACTGTAAAATAATAAAGTACTTATAGTACTTCTAGTACTGATGTATCATCTATAAGACTTGTGCTACACAAAAGCTTTCTTGCACCAGGCATCGCGCTTGCAATCAGCTCGACAGGCTCAATGGACACAACCGCACATACAAACCCAAACACCCCACAACAGGTGTAACAAGCCATCCGTAGTCTGATATGTGGCTGTATTGGAAGACGCTCACACCACCAACCAAACCAGCACACCACACACTCTGCCACCACACACTCTGCTCCAATGCATTGCTAAAGCATCCACGAGAGCGTACCGAACTGTACAAACATCATAGCAACCGCCACGAGCCATCGCACACACACACACACACACACATGTCCGTTGCTATAGCTATGACCCTATGGGATTAGGGTTAGGGTAGATTTCATCGTAAAAACATTGAAACGGTGATTTGAAATCACACCAACGAGGTCCAATGCCAAGAACACTGCGATGAAAACCAACTACTGATATAGCTACTACACATGCTTACAACCCCCTAATGTCATTCACAGCAACGCATTAGTAAACCTCTAAACCTGCTATGCCCCACACCTTCGAAGTTCCAATGCCAACCATTCCACAACATATCCCCCAAAGACAAATAGCCTTAACAGATGACCTCCCACATCTTCACAATGCACTACCAACTAATATAATACACACACCCAAACAACAAACAACCAGCGCACTCATTGCTACACACACCATCGAGGTCCAACGCGCGAGAGTACACGCGCATATCGTCCATCAGCCCATACATCGGCAGACTATTCTCCTCGTGCGCCGTCTTCACGCGGCCGTGCGATGGCACTGAGTATCGCCCGAACAGGAAGGCTTTGCTAGAACCCTCTGGTGGAGGGGTGGAGAGGCACGAGAGTGTGTGCAGGTGTGTGAAAGTGTGTGAAAGTATGAGTATAGAAGAAGAAACGTGGTGTGTGACAATAGCCTGGTGGTGATTATATACGAGAAAGAGTGTTGCGGAATACGGATGTAAGCATGTGATTGATTGAAGCTGAGGTGTAACACAGGCGTGTAAGGTTGAGCATGGGATATAGTTGAGGTGAACTATAGGAGCAATGATACAAAGGCACACATACATAGCTTCAAATGATTTGTAGTTCCGCTTGGCGTATGCATATGTGTGTGTAGACTAAGATAACCAATTAACCAAAGCACTCCACACGATGCGTTGGTACACCAGATGCACTTGTGTGTGAGTACACACGCGTGCACACTAACTGTGTGTCGCATCCCCAGACAGGCCGATGGTCCAACCGATGCAACAGAATGGACACACTCCGCTCTCAGCCTGTCCCGTGGGTGCAATGCAACCCACACTCCAATAGCAACCGCACCACCCAGCAACACACCACACGTACACCAATAGCACCCTCACCATACAGTCTACAGCAACGCAACCACGCCACCCGTCACCCAACTACAGACAGACATAAACTCAGTTGTGTAGGTACCATACCATCGTGATCGTACATGGCCCATTGATTGGGAATGGGCGTATCTGCATTGCACTCGTAAGCCAACTGGCCGTCCGTGACTATCAGCAGCGACGTGCGGCTATAGCTCATGACCACGTGGTGCCATTGCTCGTCGTCGCTCAACACAGAGTTGTACACTGAACAGTTGTTATTGTCAGAGAACTCCCACGACGTTACCGGAGTGATGTTGATGAGCGCCTGCCCGCCCTCGCTCTTGCCCATGTGTATGGACGGCCCTTCTTCTTGGCCAAACCCCATCAGCGCCTCTCTGAGATTGGACTTGCCGATGTGCTGATACCTTCGGTTGAGTAGTTGAGCGAATTAAGAATTGATACAGATATGAATAGATATGGATATGAAATAAAGTGCCAGACGATGGGTGTATTGAGAAGAGTGACCAACGCGAGAGTGGATCAACAACCCCCAGGCTAACTATAACAACAACACCAGTCCCATACCAAACTGAGAATGTGGCCTCCTCAAACAAGGAATCTGGCAACGTGGTACCGGTCGCAGCTTCAAAGGAGAAGTAGTCGTCTTGCCCTGTAAGGTCGTAAATTTGGTATGGAGGTGCTGAAGACTTGGTACACAGATTGCATATGCTAAATCATTCTCACGATTTATATCGTGCACGAAGACTTCGATCTCGCTATAGAAATCTAAACGGATGCGATACAAGAACAGCGCAAAAATATAAATATATAAACATATGAATTTATAAAACATATA